TTCCACTTGAGAGGGGCACTAGGCAAGGGTGCCCTCTCTCACCCCTCCTATTCGCCATTGCTATCCAGCCTCTTGCAATAAGGCTGCGTTCAGAGGATAGATTTAAAGGCATTACAAGGTGCGGTGTGACTCACAAACTCTCCCTTTATGCAGATGACCTGCTCCTGTACATTTCTGACCCTCTAAACTCATTCCCAGTGCTTTTTGACATACTGGACCAATATGGTACACTGTCAGGGTATAAGGTCAATTATCAAAAAAGCGAGTTGCAACCCCTCAATTCCCTGGCCAGAGCTCTTCCCCACTCAATAGTGCCTTTTAAGTGGACAGAAAACGGATTTAGTTATTTGGGGTTTTTTATTTCCTCTTCTATACATAAAATGATGAGGGAGAATTTTCTATCCCTACTAGAAAATGTTGGGAAAGGTTGTGACCGTTGGACTTCTCTACCAGGGAGAGTTAACCTGATAAAGATGAGTGTCCTCCCCAAATTCTTGTATCTTTTTCAACATGTCCCGATTCTTCTTACCAAGGCATTTTTTGACAAGTTAGAAAAGATTCTGTCACATTTCATATGGGGAGGGAAAGAAGCTAGAATTCGCAAGTCTATTCTTCAGTCCTCTAAAAGTGACGGTGGTCTTGGTCTGCCCAATTTTAGACACTACTATTGGGCAGCTAACATACAAAAACTTTTACATTGGGTTCATAACGACCCCCCTGCAACAGTCTGGGTACAAATGGAAACTGCATCTAGCTGTTACTCATTATCATCAATACTCAGCTCACCACTCCCTTTTTCTCCAACCTTTGTTGGGGATAATCCAATAGCTAAGGAAACGGTAACTATTTGGCAACAGTTCAGAAAATACTTCGGGCTACCTGGACTGTCTTTGCTAACGCCTTTATCAAAAAATTGTAATTTTGCACCTTCAAACACTGATGCGGCCTTTAGCAGTTGGAAAGATAACGGACTTAGGACTGTTAAGGACTTGTACAGTCAGGAAACCTTTCTATCTTTTGCTGACCTATCGTCTAAATACAACCTGCCTAATTCCAACTTTTTTCGTTATCTTCAGGCTAGAAATTTTGTAAAAACGCAGTTCCCTCACTTTCCCAATCGGCCTCCAGAAACAAATCTGGATATCATCCTGCAGATGAACCCTCATCAAAACAGACTGATATCAGCCTTGTATAAAATACTAGATGCTTTGGTCCCCAAATCCATTTCTCATATTAAGCTGAGATGGGAGGAAGAGCTTCAGACAACCCTGCCAGAACAGCAGTGGGATTGTGCTTTGAAATTGATTCACTCGTCCTCAATTTGTGCTCGCCATGCTTTGATTCAGTGCAAGGTGGTCTATAAAGTACACTATACAAACGCAAAATTATCTAAAATCTATCCAACCATCAGTGATGCCTGTAGCAGATGCGGACTATCGCCTGCCAACCATGTCCACATGTTTTGGTCTTGTTCGAAACTGAGTGCATTTTGGAGGAATATATTCGACACACTTAGCCAAGCATATGGCCAGACTGTCCTTCCTAACCCACTCTCCACAATTTTTGGCATTCCTCCCGACTTGAACTTATCTGGTCCCCTCAAACAGGCCCTAGCCTTTACCACTTTACTGGCCCGGAGGCTTATTCTGTTGAAGTGGAAGCTTCCCCACCCCCCAACTCATGATCATTGGGTGAGAGATGTACTCTTTAACTTAAAGTCGGAAAAACTTAGATTCTCTCTAAAAGGTTCTATTAGGGAATTTAACAAAATCTGGAAATCATTTCTCTTGCTGGTGGACACCATTACTTTACTTCCTGAGTCTGAAGTGAACTGAGCGAAGCTACATTATGGGGGTTTTTTTTGTGTTTTTTGTGTTCTCTCTTTTAAAAATCATACTTATACCTTATCTATTTGTTTTTCCTTTTGTTTTGTTTGGTCCTTTCTCTGCTTTTGTTTTGTCTTTTTTTGCTTTGTTTGATTTTGTTTGGTTGGTTGGTTGTTGGGGGGGAGGTTATGCTTGTTATGTGTATGGGTCCTGAGATGTTGTTTTTGTTTTTTTTGTGTGTGTGGGCAGAGATTGGTTCTCTGTGGTGTTTTGTCTAGTGTGGACCTGGTAGGGGGAGAATTCGGGTTGGGGGGTTGGAGGGTATAATGGACATACCACTGTTCTGAAATCAAGATTGACTTAGCTGTTGCTAACTTTGTATGTCATTGTTGAAATCAATGCAAAAGCATTGACATATATTTTTCCTATCACATAGCCGACGGGCAGGGACAGAGATAGATTTTGGTAGCCCGACTGAGAAAAATCGCTAGCTCCCGGGACGTCGGGCTAGCGATATTGCGAGCCCTGTATCTGATTGAGGAATCACTCATCTTTGGAAAAGAGAGTTTATTACAGAGAAATGGCTCTTTCCAAAATAAAAGCTATACTATCGCTTCTTCTGGGCTATATTCTCAGCAGCATATTAAATTAGGCCAGGAAATCATGTGCTAACGCTGTCTAAATGACTCGGCGTAAAGTTTGTAGCATGCTTGCTTGTTTTTTGTCTGCTTCCACTTGTCTTTGCACTAGGATGATGTCGGCGTAAATGTGCAGTCATATTCGTTGTGTTCCCACTAGTGCTTCAGCGTTAATCTGGAAATGACCTTAACGCCACAACACGGCAAATCTCCGTTAACGAGCTACCGCCGATCGCCCGTGCGTGGGGCTGACGGCGCAACACGTTAACGAGCTAACTGCGCTAACACACGTAGTTCCCACCCATGTAATTGAGCATTGCTGGCACATCCGACATACTGTTTTACTTTAGTCCATGACTGCGCTTACCTTCAGGGTCATACTCACATGAAAGACCAAAATAAGTTCCAAACGCCAGATCTGAATGAGGTGGAGGTTCAATTTGCCATGTTGCAAGGAGAGCTTAACTTCTGTCTCGCTAGCTTGCCCTGCGCTCTTCCTTCTGACTATGCTGTCTGTGTTGAGCGCTCAGTGGATCTGCGCTCGACAGTGCAGCCTAGGCGGAGTAGTCGAACACAGATTCACTGAGCGCTCAACACAGACAGCATCGTCAGAAGGAAATTGATAAAATAAATTACAAATTTTGTATTGTTCGATACATATGCGTACCGAACCGAAAGCACTGTATCGAACGGTTCAATATCGATACAAATATCGTTGCACCCCTAATATATAGTCACATAAAACCTTTTTAATCTACAACCAACTTCATTATCGACCATAGCCAATCAGTCTTAAATGTGGTAACTACCAAATTAATTGGAGTGAATTATATGTAACTTTGGCTCAACAGATTTGAAGGGAAAAGAGTTATCATTTAAAACAAATGCTTCTTGATTAGATCATCATAACCTTAATCATATAAACATTGCTTCTGTGTGTTCTTGTTTTTTTTTTTTCTACTTACCATTTTGTAGGTAATAATGAATTTTATCATATGACCCACAGGCATGTTCTGAGTAAGGAATGCTCTCTGGCTGGGCAGGGCTGGTTGGTAGTTGATCTTTGCTGGTGGGAAAACAAAGGTAAACCATGAATCTTAATCTGGACTAGTACTTAAATAAACAGAGTGGTTTTCATATCTATTTTAGCACTTAAAGTATTTTTATTCCAAGCCTTATTCACTCACACATTCATAGAGTTGCTTTTTTTCTATGTCCTAATGCTTTCAACTTGATATTCACACACTCACACTGCATCATTTTGCCATGCAGGCTAGAGGAGCTGGGGATTGAACCACCAACCTTCTGATTGGTAGACAGCCTGTTCTACCTCCTTACTGACAGATGCCCCAAAAACTGCCCTCTAGTGCATCACCTTCACTGGTCTTACTTCATGCGCTTTACTATAAACCATACTATAACACATAGGACAAGTCTACTTTTTTTATTTTTTTTATTTTGAAACACAGAGTAAAGGAACTAAAGTTAAGACAGAACTCAGGAGCTAATCCTTCTATTGATCAGGCTTTATCTTTAATCACTGACTAGCATTAATGACCTTCTAAATAAATTGCCATGACCTACTGCAACTCTCTCTGCTGCTTGGCTTCAGAGTACTAATCACAGTGCTTACATCTGTTAAAGCTCAATCTCACTGATGTGAAGGCAGTCAAGTAACTTCATCAGTACTGTTAGAGTTAGCGTATGTCACGCATAAAGAGAAGGCAAGCTGTTTCTGTGCTTGTCCTGGCAAGTGTACCAACATCTGGCTAGAAGCCAGGCTTTTAACGAATGAACCACTGGAAGATGTGAAACATCATTTTGAAACCGTCAAGGGCCTGTCAGCAACCTCAAAATAATGCCCTCAATGCAGAACAAAATTTATGAGCTTGAAGCAGTATAATTGAAAAACAGTGACATGATAAGTGGCTCAAAACTAATTTGACATGGGCACCTAGACATTCAATTGACGGCACTGTACACATGACATAAGACCTGTCAAGTGGTATCTATCCATAATACTATTTTTGACACCATGCATTGCTAAGTTGATGGCAAGGGATGTCTTTTACCACATTTCTGTCAGACAGCTGTTGAATTGCAGATAAGTAAATACATGCACTGGCATCTCACGCTTTTGAACACAAAAGTGCAGTGAAATCATCCGCTCATAAATGTGCTAATCTGTTGTGACACTTTTGTGGAACTTTGCTACCGCAACTCAAAATCACAGTCAAATCAAGGCGACATAGGTAAAAGTATAAAACAGGAACAATGCAATGGCAATTTATGCACTTACATAAACATGAGCGAGTACGAGCAAATTTTCCTATTTGAGACAGCCATCAGCTGTTTGCAGCAGAAAGAAAAATAACACTGTTGTCTTATCTTTTTAAGGTATCCGATAATTTCTGTTCTTTTTACTGTTGAGGTCCCCTTGTTTTTGGCATCTTCTGAAAAGGTGGGTTAAATCATAAAGCTTTGAGAGCACAGATTTCAGTATATACACAGGATAAATACTGATGATTTTCCCTGTCTGATATAGAAGTGAAAAAGCCACTTTGACAATAACAAAATATCCTTCACTCTAGAGCATTTAATTACTAAATAAATGGGTTTACTTAAGGCAATGATAGTCTCTTGGTTCCTCACTGGGTCCAACACTCAAGGGCTGACAGTATTTTTAGTTTTGATCGGATAGTCATTGTCCTCACATTATCATTTCTATTTGACTGCATGGACCTTTTAAAATTTGACATGTGTTACATCTATTCAGTGATTTTTTGCATTACACTGTCATCTATGCAAAACAGTGGCAAGTTCAAGAGCATCTCATAGCGTCCAAGCTATCTGCACAAATGTTTGTTCCTGACCCTTAATACTCTGACATCTGAGGATACTGCTTCCCCTCTGAGTGGTTTCCTTTCAATTTTTCATCGTCATTCTGTCTGTCTTCATTTCATGTCCTTCCTTTTAAAAAAAGTCTGGCATTTGATCCTCTCTGACTTAATTTTTGTGAATGCACTCCTGGACAACAGTAACCACACTTTCTCAATTTCTTCGGGATGTGACCTGCAAGTCACATCTGCGGTTGCCTTCGGCAACTAAGGCCTCAAAATTTCCATTACTTTTTCATTCTGAATTTTTAGCACAGCATACGGTACTGGCACTTTCAGTGTCTTTGACTGTTAGAAGGATGAGGAAAGTGAAACTTGAAAAGCCACTCAAATCAAGACATAACATCAAAGGGGTGATGATTCAGAGATGCAGCTTCTGAATGGCAATTTATGAGGAGTGGTGCAAAAAAAAATCCTTTAAAAAGTATGAAAACTTCCAGCTGTCTTTTTGTAAGCTGTAAAAGATAATCATTTCCATCCTCACAAAAACAACAGAGCAGTCCACAGCGTAAGCCTCAGCAACCTGCTGTGGAGAAAAGGAAAAAAAAATAGTGACACACACACCTTCTTGCCAGGTAACTGGCTAAGATAATTGCATCTGAAAATAGAAAAATAAATTAATGTGTCAGCTGTTTGATTGAAACAAAGGAGGAAAAAATCACAGTTCTGGCCCATAATCCTGGGGAGGTATCCATACCCAGAGCTAATTTAAAAGATACAGGTAATAATGACAAATGAATACCAAAGAAATAGCAGTCGCTACTTACTATCATAAATCTGTAAGGCCATTAGAGATGGGCAGCACTCTTCATCAACCACTTAAACAAAATGTTAAAGATGGAGGTCTGTATCTATGGCCATGTTACAGCACAGACCCTTTATTGAATTACCTATGCATCCCCTTGACACTTATTGAAATTGAAGGCGCAGTAGTTGACATATACACCCTCCCCCATCCATACCTACACCACTGTTCGAGTTTTGCTGTTGGTCTAAGCAAAAGTGGACTTGAGGACAATGACCTCTGAGTCCAAAGCAATTTGTTTACTAATTAATGTAACTATGCTTTGATATTGAATCACTTTTAATTGCTTCTGAATACCTGACTGTAATCTTGACTACTAATTTTAGTGCCAGGAAACCATGCCTTACAGTTTTCTGAATAGAAATGAGAATCTAATTAAGACATACTTTTATGCAGTAATCTCTTATCTGGGCAACAACTTCTTGATATTTCGTATTACTGTTTGACTGCACAACTATTACTACAGGGCTGTTCAGGGCAACTACAATATTGTGTTGTTTGCTGATGTTATCCCATCATACCTTTAAAATGCATACTATGCAGTGCCCATAGACAAGTTTTATCTATTATTTATTGTAGCACTGAATATTTTACCACCACAATAAAGGCATGGCAGCTGAAAATGCTCAGAAATGAAGAATGGCATGTTTGAGATGAGGAGATATCATTAAAAAAAAAAAAAAAACCTATTTGATTATACTGTATCGGTTAAATACAATCAAGCTACACTGACTGCACACACAGTGCATTAAAGCCTCAGTGACCATTTCTATTTGTTTGGATGCAAAGGACTAACCACAGCTTTTTAATGATCAGGTTTAACCCCCCAAAAATGTAGTTTGTTAAATGGTCATATCAGACCCTTTTTTTAATATATATATATATATATATCATCATTTTTATCTTTCAAAAACTAACATCCCTACTGACCTAAAAAACAAACAAACAAACAAACAAACAAAAAAACAGTAACAATCAATCTCCAATGACAAAAGCTCATATCGACCATGGTTTAGCCTTCCAGGAGACCAAATTTTCCATAGCAATTATCCATTGGTCAATGAAGGTTTGCAAAATTATAGCTATGATTGTTTGTTCTTCAACACTTGCTATATTACTCATCAGGAGAGATGTAAAATATAAAGGGAGAGTGAAATTTATTTCCACTGAGTTTAAACTCAGCAAGATAAAAATCACAGTGCGTTAATTATCTTCACAATCACTTTAGCTCCCACTTCATGTTTAATCCCTAAATTAGGCTCCATTAGTTTCATTCACAGCACAGCAGATACTGACCTAGAATCCTGACTCATGCAGTGTAAGTTGTCAAAATCATTGCTAATGCACTGTTTACCCATTTTTCTACTAGTGTAAACCAGACCTGAATGGCACATTTCCTCACCATTGCCCAAGCCTCTTCTAATTAGAGCAGCTCCTCCTGCACGAGATATGCATCCCACTATACTCAGGTACTGTGAGTTTGCAGTCTTTGAGAACTTTAGCTTCACCGCTTTCAAAATAAATACACACAGACAAGCCCACACAAACGTGTGCACTCACAGCATGTTCTACTAAGAGCTTCCTGAAATGAGAAACAGTAATACGGTGTGAAACTAAATGCTAATTTAGCAGCTGCAAAGCTCTCTGTAACTGTTGCTGAATATTGGATGATATGCTTAATTGCATTATATTAAAAAACAAACAAACAAACAAACAAACAGAAATTTGAAAATGCTTTTCAGGATTTTTATCTTAATCGTATCTAGTCTCAGATTCTATAAACATACTAACCTATAAACTATTTGCCAAAAAAAACATCCAAATATTTTACATGTCCACATTTCAAAATTAACACATGGCAACAGATCCTAATTCCACATTCATCATTTTCATGCATAGCAATCTCAATATGCCATGTGACAAAACAGTTCATAAATCATGAACATGAGTGAAAGAAGGGCTATCAAAAAGAAAAAAAAAACTGACGGGACTCATTACAAAAGATGGATGGATGAACAGGGAGGTAAATACAGGAGCCAGGAACAGGTCTAAGATGATGTATTAGAAAACAAATCCTGGTGTGTATGAATATAGTGGCACATCTTGATGCCAGGCATCCTGTAGACTCGGGAAGTTTGGGGGGTTTTCACATTTTGTAACCAGCTGCCCATTACTCCAGTGACTTTACAATTCGATTGAAATGTCAGCACCAAAAATCTGTAAAAGAGACAGAATTGAGGTGCTGTGCATACAGCAAATATAATTTTAGACTTCAGCCGTCAAAGAGAGACTTGGTATCATTTCGTCTTTATCGTCAATCCCACCTGGCTTGTTCTTTCTCACACCCACAAATCACAAAGCTGCCCAGGTTTACCCTGTTCCCAGAAAATTCAACCTGAAACATGTCACAAAGAGGACTTTAAGCTGCAAACCTTTGTTAAATTTACACCCAACTTCTTTTGGGAGAGATGTCGTCTCAATCACTTGGTTGACTTTGGCTTTCAAGAGTCCCTGTCAACCTCCCCACACTGATTTAGGGCCAAAGTGTGACACTGCCAGAGCAATCCATGCTGCATAATTCAACATTGCTCTCAGACCTGTCTCATTAAGGATCCTGGCTTTGGTCCATGGCTCTGACTATGAGGCTTTGAGTGACAGATCTTTTGCCAGCTTAGTACAAATAGGAACAGACTCAGTATAAGCCTGCACTTCGGATTTAGCTTCAGCCCTTTCCAAACCTGGCAAAACCAAGTGTGCTTCCAGTCACAACTTCAACCTGCATCAACTCCACCCTTGGTGTGTGTCCTACACATGACAAGCACTAGCTGGAAGGCAGAAATCAAATCCAAATCCCAATCAACATCAACACAATTTTCTACTGTAGCTGATTCAGGTATCTCTATTTCCATATGAGGAAAATAAATCAAGGGTTGAGAAAAATCCCCATATATTGTCAGACAGCCACGAGTAAACAAATCACCTGTCTGTAAAAATAATTTTATAGCATTGCTTTCCTTTGAATTTTGGTTCAGCTAAAGCTTATTACAAACAGTCCAAAATATGTAAAGCATTCCCTGCTTTGGTAACTTGAATTTAGAAAGGTTGGTAATGGCATCTTTGCCACTTTCAACTTCCCACAGCTTTCAGTTGTAAGTCATGTTAGACTCCAGTTAAAGTTTTGGCTTTAACATTTGCTGTGGTTCAGAATCTAATCCAGGCAGTCCATGAGCTGGAGACCTGAGTGTACTTCAGCCAAAGTGGCTGCCACACTCTAGAGTTGAAGAAGATTTAGGAAAATCATAGATTTATCTGCATGGATGGACAGTTTGCCACATTTGACAGACAGATGAGTGAGAAGGATATTTGCCTTCTGCATCACTGAGAATTTCATTTAACAAGTTGACAGTGGTGGGAGACGCACACTGACCTGCCAAATGAGGGGGGCAGGTGACAATCACAGCTCTGCACAAGAAGGTGTCTGTAGCAGTCATCACCTTGGCCCACTCAGCATCCTGTTTAAACACAAACAGGAATACAGTTTTATTTTAAAAACTAAATTTCATTTTGTTTGATATGGTAGAGCTGTTTTAGGTTACTTCTTTGATCGATTTTGGATATAATTTATTACCAATACAGTATACACAAAATGAAGTTCCTTGCCTTCAGTTGTTTGTCCCTTTGTTCTGTTGAATTACCTTTTTTCCCCACCACAGTTAAATTCTGGGGTTTTGTTTTCCATTAAGCCGCATTATATAATCATCTTGTTATATATGTGTTGTATATATTTGTTACATTAAGTGAACCGTAGTCCTTGGAGAATGAGTTATGAGGAGAGTTGTTAAATGATAAATCATATTTACTTGTCTGTGTTCATTAAGTATTCCACTAATGTGCTTTTAGAGATCTTTTTAAATGAAGAAAAGTCTGGATTACACAGAGTGGTCAGTGAGACTAGAAATACAGTATATAAAAGCATGTACATTACATTACAGCACATTAAAAGAAAATCCTATAGTATGGGGGTTGTGGTAATTCTTCTGTCTTGTTTTTGGTCTATTTCTATTTATTTCACAGCTGATCATTGCAAAGTTGCTTTGAGTAGTTAGCTCTATCCTCATAGTCTAATGGTATTGGCCATTCCCAGCATCATGATGACTACATCGATAATGGCAGAGGGGGTAACTGAATGATTTGGGCATAAAAATGATGTTAATCACATGCTATAGTTTCACTCACGAGTCTCAGTTTTGATTGAAACAACTTTTAAATGGTGGTTTATGGAGGTAGAGGCAGTGTCAAACTATCAGAAGTAGGAATTTATGTAGACATTTACATCTAAAGATCTGAGATGTAGCTCTTTGTTTTTCACTATTTGGTTTTTTTGCTGTTTCTGTAAGTGGCAGTGACCTTAATTTGCTAGATGTTCACAACTTGGAAAATTGTGTTAACACAAAGCTTTTATAGAGGTGGTCACACATACTGATTATCAGTTAATCAAATGCTTTTGATTAACAGCTCCTGGTTTTTAGTTACCCTCTTAATCCCTAAGAAACCAACAACAACCTTTTATTTGTGGCACTGTTTAAAGCACAGAGTTACAAAGTGCTTCACATTTTGGATAAACATATCGTGTCATATCAAACATATGGTCTTCCATTTATTCCTACATACTTTCACAAGCATAGGTGAAATTAGATGTCAGTTATAGACAAAAATAATAGAATAATGATTAAGGATAAGACAAGCTATTAAAAAGAGTTTTCAGCAGCTTGTAAAAGAAACCACTGATTGTGTAAATCTGATGGGGTACTCCAAAGTTTAGGAGTTGAAACCTCAGCTGTGTGGTTGTCTTTTTCCTTAAAATATAAGACCCAGATCAGATGATTAGAGAGGCTGAGGTCTCAGTAGCTTATATATGCAGGAGCCTGTAGCCATGTTGCGCTTTACATGTTGTTAATAAAAAAATTCAGAATGACTCTGAGTTACTTATTGCTTAATGACAGGCTTGGATAATGATGTGCATACCCCCTGCAGAGTGTTCTCCTCTGGATGTTGTAAAGAGGTCTTTCTTTATCGTGGAGCCATCAAAATGTCCGTGCTATCTTCCTGATGGATTTGTTAGAATGGCTTGTTTCAGTGACATTGAGAGGTCCTTTGACCGCATGCTGTGGGTTCACAGAAACAGTTTTCAAATGCAAATGCCTCACTTGGAATCATCTCCAGACTTCTTTACCTGCTTAATGTATGAAGAAGTAACAAAGTTATAGCCCATACCTCTCCATGAAGCAGCTTTTGAGTCAATTGTCCAATTACATTTGAATCACTGAAAGTCGGTGTCTGCATATAAAAATGACTTTTTTTCTCAGCAGGTAAAGCAATATTTTTTTTTTCAATCCCTTAAATTGAAGCTGGTCCGATTTTATAACTTCAGATGGCGTCTGATGGAGTCACCAGACACATAAGTTAGAGATAATGGCTGTGCTTTCATTTCAACTGCATTTAGGTGTAAAATAATCATTCTCAGCGAATGTTAGAAAGAACAGAACGTCTGCACTGTGTGAGAAAGAAAAATAACAATGACTTTCACTGGTGCACCTAACTCTCCAGGCAAAGAGGTTGACCTCTAACTGCAAAGCAGTGCTCATGTATTTTTAATCAGTGAGTTTTATTTTAATTTATTTATTAACATTTAATTGTAGGGGGGGAAAAACAAACTGCTTCCTTTCTGATTCAGCATACTTGGTTCTGATTGACCATTTTTAGAAACAGACTTGCAATGACATGAAGCTATAAAAAGCAAGAATGGAAGAATTCTTTCACATTCTTCAGTTAAAATAGCAGTTTTTTTAAATATGTGTTTGATTGAACCTCAATTCAACTTGAAATTTTTGACTGTTCAGTGGCAACATTGGGAAATAGGGTAAGGTTACTAAAAAATGCTTTCAGAGGAGGCTGAAGCTTGGCATTTGTTCCTAGTCCTTAGTAGTACTCTTAATTCGTTTGTGTCCATGCTTCGCGAAGGCATAACTCCCAGAGTTACAGCTGGAAAATGTTATAATCAAACGTAAGATTTTGTCACGTGCAGTTGTTATCGTGTTTTTATTTTCTGATATCTTTTTCTTATTTTTTTGTTTTGTTTTTGGCAAGGCCATATGCCTGTCGGCAAAAGGTTCTTGAGTGTTATCGCAGCCTCACCAAATGGGACATCTCTGTGTGAAGTATTTTAAGCTTCTCATGCCTGTATTTGTTTCCTTTCTGTGCTTTGCTTCATCTTAAGTGAAGTGAAAACTCCCAATTGCCCGTAGCTGTGAATGTCAGTGTGAATGTGTTTGTCTGTCAATACGTGTTAGTGCTTTGATAGGCTGGCAAAATGTCAAGGGTGTGCCCCGTCTTTCACCCAGTCTGTGCTAGTACACACTATTGCCTTTTTGTGACCATTTACTTCATAAATGATGCAGTTTTACCTTTAGATATTTTTTAAGTAATTAATATTTATCAGGACTGAGTATATTTTTCATTTGATTGTTTTACTTTAGACACTTATTAAAAAAAAAACTCTTTCTTGAGCAGCTTTTTAAATTTTTGGTCTATAAGAAGTAAATTTGCAATGAAAGACAACATAATTTAAGATTTTTGTATGTCTGTGAAGATCTTTATAAAAAGATAAATAAAAGTGCAGGTTCCTTTGTTCTTTGGATGTTGGTTACCTTTTATTCCATTCTCAGTAAAGATGATCCCACACTGCTTCAGTTATGTTGAAGTCTAGGCTCTGGGGAGGCCAATCCATGCCTGATTGTGTCCTATTGTGTTTTTCTGTTTACAGTAGATGTGTTTTTACTGCATTGGCAATGTGTTTGGGATTATTTTCATGCTGAAAAGGGATGCCATCGGCAATCACATGTTTTTCAAATGGTGATGTTTTCAGTCTATTCCTTGTGTAAACCAGCTTTTCTGTTCCTTATGAATGGCTTCTTGACACTGCCTCCATTGAGAACTTCTGATGAGGCTTCAGTGAACAGTAGATGGAACACCTGGAGGGCCAGATGCATCTCTCAGGTCCTGTGTCAGGTCTTTGCTGGAATGTTTCCCTATATCTATTAAGAGGGCATGACTTTCAGATGCTGTTCATCTGCTGTAGAGTTTGTTTTTTTTTTAAAGGTCTTCCACTTCTTCTCTTGTCTAGCAGTTTTCTAGGTTTTCTAACACTGCAAATCATGCCAGGATTTGTCAGCTAATAAGTCTTTAGGAATAAACTTGTTGGTGCAAAAATACTATTTTATGTCTGTCAAACTGTGTTACATTTGGTATTTTTCATAGTTTCAACAAAAAAAGGGAACAAATTGTATTTTTGCGACAGGCTGCTAGTGTCACAGTGTCTAAAGGTACAATTTAAGATTGGTTCTTTGCTAAGTTGTCTGTTATGTTTAGAGATAACGGTGCAGTGAAATGCTTACACAATTGCTCGTGACCTAAAGAAACAAAAAAAAATGCTATGAATAAGATGGGAAATAAATGTGAAAATTAAAAAGGGTCAATTTAACTAGGAAGCAATAAAATAAAATATAAAAATTAAAGTTAAAAATGAAATAACTGTACAACAACAAATTAGAATGAAGGGTAAATTTAACTGGGAAAGAATAAGATAAAATATATAAATTAAAGTTGAAAATAAAATAAATCACACACGCTATGTGCACTTTCTATGCTTAAATGATTCATGATTACAAGGACTGGACTGGAAAAGAGTGAAAAAGCCACCAATCTTCAAAGCAAAAACTTTGAAAGACCTTTACAAAGCCTGGAGAACAATTTCTCAAGACCACTTTGAAAAATGACAAGAAAGTCTGGCTTCTTGGAAGCAAAATCCAAAGAAATGAGGGCTGGTGTGACAAAGTGGATGAGCAGTTGCAATGCTCTCCATTTGTCCCATATGTGTTTACCTTTTTTTTGCACATTGTACACATTATTCTGTTTCTAGGTATTTGCTATGATTTGCTATTTGTCAAGCAACATTGCTTCACTCACTATCCCGGGTTTGTTTGTGTAAGCGTTCTATTGCCGGCAAATCAAACATTCTGCAAATTAAGGCAAATACTCAGTTACATGTCTCTTTATATTTTATTATGTTACAGATTAAGTAATTTGTTCATACTTATAATGCTCTTTCTTTTCAGTCTTCATGAGGGTCAGGTGTGGGGAAACGCCTGCCTAGCATTTCCTCATTTTAAAGTCCTGATGATGTCACACGTGACATCAGCAGGTCGAACGAAGTGGAGGTGTTTCCTTTTGTTTGTGTTAAGGTTTAAAGGGACTTGTTGACTCTTTTTCTTTTCCTTAATACAGCCATTTAGTTGTGTAAATGTGCCAATTAGAAGTGTGACGTTTTGTGTCTTTTTAATCATCTGTGTAGAGTTTTAGATCCCTCAATTCAAGTGAGTGGTACTGCCTGGGCTAATTGAAGGGAAACTGATGGCCCTATTTAAAGCCAGTCTCTACCAGATTCAGATGAGAGAGGAGAGGTGAGCTGTGTTACCAGATCCATGTTCTGTTGAGGTTTGTTAATTGAGTTACTTTGGGGGAAAGTTTTGTTAAGTTACACATTAAATTAAGTTCACTGTAAATAAATTGCTCATGTCTGGAAACCTGAAATGTCTGCGTAGTCTGCTTCCCTACCACCTTCCTTGACGTTCGAGTTTGACTACTTCACAGGTGGATCAGGGTTTCTAGGGAAATGTAAATAAAACACAACTCAAGCAAATGAACTGTAAAAATCACCAAAGAGTGAACTAACTGAACTAACAGAGCATGCAGAACATTTTGGTTACTGCCTGTAAACTGTGGCAACTATGACTCCCAGGCCAGGCAGATAACCGGGTACTAATGAGAGCCGTGATAACTAAGAAAGGTTGAGGGAGCGTGGGGCGTGAAAATGAGAACAAGCAGCCCGGAGTGTGGAAAGGCATATATAGTCATCCAACCTGAAGGGGACTATGAGTTGTGGTTCAGAGACGTGAAGTGTTTCTTTTATTTTTGTTTTTGTTCAAAGTAAATATTTGTAGAATATTTATGTCTGCACAGATTTTGTGTCAAAGTTGATGGCTGTAGCTATGGGTGGGTTGTTGTTTTTTTTTTTTTCTTTTCAAACAAGAAAATATATTGATGAGAAGCACTGCATTTACATGGAGCCCTCTTAGTCTCTCAGCTGTGGATAAAGGAGACATTCAAGCAGAACAGACAGGGCCTTCGCATGAGACAGCCTGTTTCCCTACTGAGGAAGCTGTTATCTCTGTGTCGCGCCTCATCAATCCCTGAGTGAGTCGTTACTGTACCCTACCTGCCATATGGCTGTCACAGCACAACCCAGCCGGACATTCTTCCATCCAACACGGTCTGCCAGACACTCTGAAAGCTGTTGGGTGCCTCCCTGTGGAGAGGCAGATATTAGACTTCAAGGTGTGCTTAAAAACTATTATTATTAATTAACAAAATACTTGACCCCTGCAAATGATCGATTTTTCTATACATTTCAATTTGCATTGCTCTCAAGTGTATTTCTAGGAAAAGTTTCCTGGTTAGTCTTCATAACTTAGTCTTTAACTGATCAAGCACACACATCCATACATATGCAATAATACTAAGTGCAATAATCCTTTCTGTCATCGTTGTATTTTTACTCAGTTGTATATAGTATTTGTATTTGTATTCTATTTTTATCTTATTGTATATTTATTTTATTTTATTCTACTGTATATAGTATTTTATTCTATTCTGTACAGTTGTGTACTGTATTTATTCTTATTGTATTCTAATTTTTGCCTCATAACTTTTGCACTGTCCACTTCCTGCTGTGACAAAACAAATTTCCCACGTGTGGGACTAATAAAGGTTATCTTATCTTATCTTATCTTATCTTATCTTATCTTATAAGCCAGAAAACTGACTTCAGGTAGGTTTTTTGTTTTGTTTTGGGGGTTTTTGCACCAGTGTAAAACAAAATATGAGCAAATGTTCACAGCTGCTTAAGTAGAGAAAAAAACAACAAAGAAGTGATAATGATACATGCACACAAATAAGTGCTGAGGTCGAGAGGAAGGATAAAATACCACAGGAATAAGTTTCTGTTAAGTTGAAACGCTTTTTTCAGTTCACATTTGGTGCCGTGTCGTGTTCAGTGATGCTGCGGTACTCATTCCAGGCCATAGCGAGGATGCAATTAAAAGAAAACAGCTCCAGATGATAACAAGTGCAGGAAGTGTGCTAAAACATAGGTTTAAACATCAAGCACTTTGAACCATTTAGCCAAAGGCCTTCTTTTGTCAATTACTTTTTATGCCCCTTTTTTGGCTCTCAGCCCATTTTTACACATGACCATTGTTGGGAGGGAGAGAAGTTTCTGAAGCAATAACACAAAAATGGATCACACAAGTTTTATGCTTCCAGAGGACTTAAAAAGTGGAAAAATCCAATACAAGACTGCGGCTTTAAATGCGAATCAATATTTCGAGGACAAAGGGAGGCAGTGGGATTTTTGGGACATGGATTGGGAGGTGCTAAGTTTAATAGAAAATAAATAAATAAAAAGGTCAGTGTGGCCTGAAGTTTTGAAAAAGCACTTGTGCCAACAATATTGAGTGTGGGGAATGATAATAGGTATGTACCTTTATCTTGAACTCTTGAGCACAACCTGGAGTGCTCTCCAGCAGCTTCAGTAGCCCTCCAGCAGCTGTAGCATACATCAGGAAGAATAGGAAAGACATCTGGGATGGCTCAATTCCAAAGACAGACCTGCTACACAGCCCGATTTCCTCTTTTAGTTCTGTCATGGAATAATACATACTATAGCCTTCACACATGCGATAATAATACACATTTTCCTACAATGACAGTATAAAATTGTTATGAGCTAACCAACACAGAGTACACTGTCAAAAATTCAGCTTGCTACATGAAAGAGCTACCTGAGAGGATGGTAATTATCGCTTCTGCAATTATCCTGTCAAATGTAGATGCCTTTTTTAGTTTTCTCTCAATGAATCTGCCGATGCAGTGAGTCACTTGATTTGGCGTAAAGAATTTAATCATTAATAATCTATGCAGCACCCACAATGCAATATCTTGACAAATGCATGCCAGATTTTCTGACAGGGGAGATTCCCAAAGGATTAAAGCACGGTTCCATGCCACCATTATGCTTGCATGCATCATTGTGAGCAAATTCTTGCACATATTTTATTGGTACATTTATCTGCAGTGGAAACTATTTTCTTTCCTAATTTTGTTTTCTACTTTTTGAAGATGAGATATGAGGAACTCAAACTTGAATCTCTGGAGTCTCACCAGAGGAGCTCGACATGTTTGCTTGAGAAAGATTGAGGCAATGAGAAGGTTAAAGGCACTCTTTAAACTGACCTGCAGTCCAAGCGTGTTTCTCAATGTACGTGTGCAGCGTCATGCTGTCCAGTTCTTCAGCATTTGGAGTCTTTGAGGGATCCTGGACGCATACTGTTGCGCACAGTCTGTCAATCTGAATGCAGAGGAAAATCATCACATCACACCCACACGTGATGGTTCACCACTGTGAACCAAAAGTATCCCATTGATAGAGATAATAACAGAAGAATAGCTCAAGGCTGCCAAATAGGATTTTGCCAGTGCAATTTTCCCCACAGTATATTCTTCCTACTGGTACTCTAACCATTTATCTTGGACTCAAGATTTTCTGGTACTTTGCTATGTGGTAAATGCACTTTTGTCCTATAAATCCAAAAACAGAAAACAAAGTATCATTACCATATTGATTTGAAACTTTTACATTTTTATTGGATAATAAAATTAATTTTTTAAATATATGTTTGGTATACAAGAAATCAAACCAAACATCATAGATTGGAACTGTAGTATTTCCAGATCCTTCTACTCTGACTGGGCAAAGTACTAACGATAGAATGTTACTGTGCAAGTCTCACCTTCCACAGGATCTGGGTGAAGTCCATTAGCACCACAGGGGACAGAGCAGGAATGCTGGTCTTGTAAGTGCGAACTTTGGAAGTTGGCCCACCCATGTGGTGCACCTTTCTACCCATATTGAACTGTGGGTAGACTTCTAAGCCCAGCTCTTTTATGAGCTTCAAGACGTGCGTTTGAGTACTGTAAGAGAAAGCATGCTGTTTTAAAACCACTGTTTTTGTCTTTACTGTGAAGTTTTCTGCTAATACATGGTCCAAATGTAATGTTTACTGTTTGTATAGAAGTAGACCTCAAACTTCTACAAGGTTCTACGTGTCACTTCTCAGAGTTCAGATGTTTTCATGTGTTCTGTGACTCACTTAACCGATGTTGGGCTGTAGTTTCAAGCTCACATTTCTAAACAAAGTAACATAGTTTTATTAGCTGAAACTGTAATAACTTCATATTCTGAGAGCTGAGAATCATTTGCCGTCTTGACCTTTTAGTGTGGAGCCATGTATTTGTAATGCTTGCAGAATTTTGCTTGGCATTGAAATAATATCAGTATTGATTGATTGGCAGTAAATGTTGCTCCAGAGTCTGCATAGTTTGTCCAGCAATAATGTTACCTCTGCATATGTGCAAACCACTTGTTTTATTTTCACTAATGGGTGCTATCTTTAGAGCTGTCCACTGATAATTAGTCAGAGGGTCCCGCTCTTTTGTTTACCCAGAGGATTTCTAGAGATGAAACAACAGAAGAGTTTCCTACTTCACCTCTGTCCAGATCAGAATCCAAGGAAGTTGGCAGCTTTTCTGGGTCCTGGTCTTTTCTGTTCATTGTAAAGTTTCAGCATGTGTGCTGAAAGTGGTGCTTTATGAATAAAACTAGATTGAATTGATTTAAAGTAGAGACTGCATGTAACCATACGAGTTGATTATTTAAAATCCTTCTCAGCAATATCACTGATCAAACACTGAATTCAGAAAAAAAAAATAGCCAGAGTAGGAAAATGAGATAGATAACGCAAGTTTGAGAAATACTGGCTGTTGAATTTAAACCTTACACGTTGTTTTGGTCGATTTTGGCCCATTTTTGACATTTGATAGCCCAAAGTGTGATTTCTTTTAGTCTAAAAGTTGATTACTTATTTGGACACAAAATACACAATTATGAAAATGTTTAAAAATATTTTAGTTTTGTACAGTCTCTATTGTGTAAGCTGAGACTGTTCCAGGTCAAACTTGATCCGTATTGGTAAATGGACTGGTTCTTATATAGCGCTTTTCTACTCTTCTGAGCACAAAGCGCTTCACACAACTTGCGGATTCACCCATTCACACCCATTTGCACAAGCGCATTTTTTCTTAGTGCTTTCTAACTGACATTCACACACACATTCATTCTCCAATGGAGCAATTTGGGGTTAGTATCTTGCCCAAGGATATTTGGCATGCAGACTAGGAGAAGCCAGGAATCGAACAGCCAACTTTCCGATGAGTAGATGACCTGCTCTGACCTGAAGGTTGGTTGGGATGAATTTTAGATCCATCAGTAGTGTGAGTTGAATTAAGGAAAATTGTGGTTTTAGGGAATCTTGAAACTGTGACACTGTGTCTGTGTGCATGTTTTATGCCACAATGGTGACAGAGATTAAGGGGACCTTGACACTGTCAAGAATTGTCTGTGTGCCCACCGCTTGTTGGTCTTTGAAGGATCACTGAGGAACCTCAAAACAGTGAAATGGTAAAACAACAAGGAGTGATCATATATGGTGCATGTAAGGAACAGAGGGCAAAGGGTGCCTTGACACAGACACAAACTCTGCAATAGAGCAGTAGAGCTGCAGGATTGCTGGTTAAAATCCTGGCAGGGGCCTTGCACATGCATGTTCTCTCTGTGCCTATGCGAGTCTCCACCTTCATGCCACAGTCCACAGAGGTGCATCAGTTTCTTAACATTTATAGAATAAAGTGCTGTATGAATATGTAATTAAAGTGTGACTTGTAATTATGTGGTTTGAGTGATTAGTAAAACTAAAGAAGAAATTATGGAAAAGTCGGTACATTATGTTACATTTAGACCTACAAGCAACTCCAAATGAATAGAACACATTTATGGTGTTATTTTTGTAACACTATTCTAAGCGCACGAAAAAAAATTTGAGCGCATGTAAAAAAAAAAGTTTGCAGGTGCAAGTGTTGCATTTTGAGGAGAAATTTATTTTGAGCAAAGAAAAGCTAAATTTGAGTGAAAAAAATGTATTGCTGTTTTCATCCTAAGGCTCTTTAATAAAAAAAGAATCCTACATTTCACTTTACTATATATATATATATCTATATCTATATCTCAGAGAGAGAGAGAGGGGTGTTTATTTGTAGATAGATAGATAAATGTTGTAATTGTTGTTCTAGATAAATGTTCAGTAGTAAACTGTAAGAATACTGCTAAGAAATCCTGCAATACACACTTTGCGACTAGTTTCTCTGAGACTTTAACCCTGTAATCTCAGTATTACATTGCATTACATAAACAGTATCAAGTAACCTCATTCACATCAACCAATCCTATCCAAGGGTTTTCTTATAAGTGGGCATCTGCCAGTACCTTAGCTGCCTGTGTTAACAACATCATAATCTAAATGCTCTGTCTGTGCCGTAAAGATAATGTTTCCGTAAGCAATGCATTCACATATATTCACATATATTATTCTTTACATGATCATGGGAAGCTGGAGTCAGTCCCAGCTCTCATTCAGCCAGCATTTGTCATTGTCTGTGCTGTCAGGTGTCAGTGATAATCATTGTACAACTATCATTCAACAATAGGCAACAATCTGTTGCAATCATTGTGGATAAATTTCATTTGTTTAGCTAAGGTCTTCATTTTCTGGGTAATCTTCCAAATCCCAGTGACTCTGTCGAAACGTCTCCCCTTTTTCCAGAATAACACATTTGCATTTGAGTCATGTTCACTGTAATTCTACTCCATTTCTGTTTCTACCTTCAGTATTAATGTATTTATTTGATCAACATTACCTTCCTACCCATTGCCCTCCAAGGTCCCAGCAATCAACACCACTGGCTGCTGGTAACTTGGCAGTCACTGTGCGCCCTCCCACCCGATCTGCATGACACAACAGTCATAATTCTGTTATAACAGTGCAATAATTTTTGCTTCATTATATAATTCTGCATTACAAGTTACCAGTTGCCTTTAAATAGCATGAAATTTTACAAACCTTTCCCTTCCAGAATCAGTATTTTCATACTGGCGTCCCTTTTTTTAAGCCAATGAGCTGCACTCAGTCCAGAAAGTCCAGCACCAACAACTATAACGTCCCAAATTTCCGCAGTCATAGTTACTTTCTTTAGTGCCAACTTAGCGTGTGCCGGTAAACTGAGGATTCAGACACTCAAATCCAGCCTGTATTCCCTTTTCTTCTCTGTATCAATTAGGTTATCTTATCTTGCAAAGCCTGGGCGGCTTTCATAATAGTGCACTTTGGAACTGTGAACAAGTGAGCTTGTGACCTAGTTGGCAAGGAATCGGCTGTGCAAATTCCAGCAAATAAAGCCAAGAGAGGCGTTTGATTCTTGAACAGTAGAGACATTGTCAGATATAACATCTTTGTAAGACCATGGAAAAATTGAGGCAAATTTTCAAATATGAATCTTGGAACATTCAAACATACATACATATATACATACAGAGAATGGAGTAATCAGTTGTAAGTCAGAAGGAGAATTGGCACTATAGAGCAAGAGCAATAGTATGCAAATAAAATGTAACTTTGAACTTGGAGAAGAATAGATAAGAAGACTGGAAAAGACGTCACCCAGTTGCTGGAGACAAAACTGAAGGGAGAGAGTCCCACAAACAAGCAGCAGCTGAAAGCAGCTGCAATGAAGTCCAAGCAGAACATTTCAAAGGAGGAAGCAGAGTAATATTTGGGGATGTCCATGGGTTCTAGACTTCAGGCAGACACAGACTGAGAAGGATTTTCATCCAGTTATTAAAAATAATCCTTATGTTAGTTTGACCAATTAGTTTGGAGTCTCTGAAAATGGGGGCCTGAGTATAAAAACAGATAATGCAGTGCATTTGTTAAAACCCTTGAATTAAACATGAAAGTTGATACTTCAATTACATCTTGATTGTTGGATTTAAAATCCACTGTGCTGGTGTACAAAGGCAAAATCACAAAAACTGAGTCATTGTCCAAAAACCTGCAGCTCTAACTGTATTATCTCCATATAAATGTGTACAGGCTTTGAAGCCATTCTCAGTGTGAAAAATAAACGAGTAAAGAAAATTCAGTCAGGTCGAGGGCACAACGGTGTACTCTGCAACTTTTACGGTTTGTTATGACATAAAACCTGATTCTTTCTGAGTCTCTTTTCTTAGTTAAAATGACAAGGACGTTCAGATCATTATGCAATAAAAAGGACTGCTTAAAAATGACTTCTGAGGCACAGCAAGTGAAAACCATACCAACAAGTGTGTGGAACAAGAAGGGCTTGCATGCCTGTACAAACAATGAAAATTCCTCTTGTTCTGGTTTGGATCTTATGTCTTTGAGTCCATCTGTCTCCATTTGTGCCAAACCTCATATGGAGGTGTTCAGAGTTTCTAATTACTTAGCCAAAACCAAAAATCTGGCACATCGTTTGCTCTTATTTTCATGGCAGTTCTTTATTTTCCTTTTAATTTTATTTTGTGGTTAGAATTATCACTGCTGTCTTAAAGCAAGTTCTCAGAAGACTGGAACAATGAGCAAATAAATGAACAGTTCTAATGGCTTTATTCCACACGTTTTTATTTCAGTTGTTTTCATTCCAAGACAACAAAATTACCCAGACAATAAAAAGACCCAGAACAAACAGTTATTTGTACCTACAGCAGATGACAAGCATTTGTTTAGAGATGTTTTTGTGTCCCTAACAAATGTAAATTAAGGTTCCTCTTTGCCTCTTTTCACTCCCTTACCAAACAGGTTAACAAAAGACAGGATGTCCTCATCACTTCACATAATAATATTGCAGAATAACTTTAACTATGTACACTGATGTTCTAAAATCTTTTTTTTTGGGGGGGGGGGTTTGTTTTTTTTGTTTTTTAAATTTTTCAGCCATCTGTCCAGACAAAAATTCCTCTTAACTAAAACTGACCCCTTTTCAAAATAGTTAGCAGTGTGTGAACAAAATTGAAGATTAGTTTGTCACTGTGTAGCATTTTCAAATTAATGGCTCAAACAAAAACAAAGGATCAAGGGTTGCATGGCCTTTGATAGGGCAGCATTTAATTTGATGAATTGATAGACATCAGAGATGCTGTCAATGGCTTTTTCTTGATGTTGTTACTGTTCGCTTATTCATGTTTTATAATTAGTTCAAATAGTTTGACAACTGAAACAGAAAAAAGTAACCAACTTTATTTTAATATAGCGTCACAGTGTAGATGACACTAGAGCAGGAAGAAACTGAACAGAGATGTAATATGGTGAAGGTTTAATCGCTCATCTTGTTTTTTTGATCATCAACTACCTGACAGTAACTTTGGATATGTGAGGGTCAAGTGAAGAATGCCTCAATCACACAGGTCTAGTGACCACTGGTTGATGAGAAAAAAATATGTATTCCCCAAATGGTTATAGTTCATTTAATGAAGATTATGTGTGAGATTAAAAAGGAAGATCTGCAATCATTCATCTTTCCCCCTTTTTATTCCATAATTGCGTTGCACATGTGCAATGACAATAAAAGGCTAGTCTGTTCCTGGGTGTTTGGCTCCTAGTCTACTCTTTACTTCATTACTCCTTTCCCTTCCTGTCAAACTTAATACTGTCAACACTTGTCCAATCATCTTCTTGCCTGCCTTGTTTGAGTCAATCAGCCTCCACTCTGTGTTTTAAATCTGTCCTCTTCTTCATTCTCCTTTACAGGCTTCGTGCAACCCATGTCCACGTCAGTCAGAGCTCCATTCAAGAATCCATCTTCATCTTCACCACCACGAGCAACTAGAATCCTATAACCACTGGCATTACATTTTGTCATAATGGGCCATCAGAGTCTAATTGCTAAATACATCAATTTTCTCCAATCGAGAGACTTCCGGTTTTGACGAGCATGGGGTAGTCACACTTTCCCTTAGCTCCCGCAACTTTTAGTTATTTGAGCGAGCCCGCCTAACTTATTTTTTGAGGCAGATATCTTGGTGGTTTGGTGAAGCCGTCGGAACATTTGATGCCCTGCCATGTCGCCTAAACATGCGAAGTCGAATGGCAAAACAACCGAATGCGTGGCTGCTAGCGTTCCTGCGAATAACAGCACTGCTAGTGGAGCACCATTCGGCTTTACTGGTGGAACTAAAAGTCAGCTTTTTTGACGATGTGAATAAAAAGCTGGACGGACTACAGAAGGCATCAGACAACCATGGTGAGCGCCTAGATTCTTTGGAGGAAAGCGCCGAAGTGGAGGATACCTGTGAGACATTTCGGATCGCTAATGAAAAGCTGAAGGCTAAGTTATCGGACATGGAGTCGAGAAACACTGCAATGTCCGCCTTATCGGCCTTGAGGAAGGGATTGAGGGTCCACAACCCTCACAGTTGTTGCAATTTTCTCCAATCATGTTCAATTCTTCCAAATGATCTCTCCTTACATGTTCCTTAAGTATTTACAGATGAGTTTGATTCTTCCATCCAAACTATAGGCTACCTACAGCTAACCACCAAAGCAATCACAAGGTTTTTGATTGGGCATCCTCATTACAACCAATTTCACTTAGCTGCTAAATAGCAGCTGTTGAATAGCTGATGACACTGTACAGCTCTTGTGGTGGGCTTGTAGATAAACACTATTTCATAAGGATTTGGTCAGATGATGACAAAGGTTTCTACGGAATAATATAGGAAGACTAGTGTGGATGCAAATTTTGTGCAACTTATTGCAAACATTTTCTACAACTTTTTGTAGAGATTTAGACATTAATATCTCATAGATCTTATCATTTCCTTTTAAACTTTACATGTTTAAGTGTCCAGTGAACTGTACCATACCAATCAAAACCATCAGTCAGATTAAATTTACAGTAATTTCTATTGCAGCAGTACCAACGCAACATCTCACCAACCAAATAACGGTGTACTAGGGAACTGCTCTGTATCTATCTGGAAACTATTCTGCATAAATAGCATATTATCATACTGGTACTTACTGAGTGATATGCAATGCTGAATCTAATCTAACTTCATTGTGTCCAGGTAGATTCCAGAGGAAGTCCTGAACAGGTTTCGTAAAAGGTTCACATTAAAGTAATTTAGAAAAGGGGAGCAGTGACAGTTTCATGCTTTTAAAGCCCTTAAATGTAATTTCTTCCCACAAAATCCAACCTATTTCTAGACAAGTAATTCCTTTTTTAAAGCAGTTACTCAGAAAACTTTACAGTGCATTTTCAAAGTTTGAAATGAGTGGGTGTGCAAGGTCAAAGAGAAGGTAAGCTGAGCTTTAGATGCTTTTTCTCATAGTGTGCTTTATCGAATAGTGACCATGGATAAAATGACTTTTTAAAACAGGCACAGAGCATTTAAAATAGCTGAAAGAAAATCATATATACATTTTAAAGAAATGTTATCTATGTGTCCCCCTAAGACCTGAACTCTTTCATGGCATGTATTTGTAATTTCTCTTTGCTATTTGGGCTGATTGGGACCTGATGAATGTAAAAACAAAGAATTGCCTGATTTATTTTTTTTTTTTTACCTCATTTTTGTTTCTGAGAAAAATGAGATCCACATATGTGGACATTGATTTTAAATTTTGACAGAACAGTAGCAGTATAATGTGCTCGTAAGTGGATATCAGGGCAAAAATGTTGTAAAGCAACATTTAATATTTTGGTCTAGACAACCCAAAATGTGATGTCCACATATGTGGACGCCAGGTCCTTCGAGGGTATAGTACAGTTCACATAAAGCACTTTATCCTCTGCCTCTAATGTGTTTTCTTCATGTGTCTGCTGAAGAGTATCCCACCTTTTCTTGTAGCAGACACGTGAGCTTTGCAGGGTTTTTTTTAAGGAAAGAAAAAAGAAAGCAAATAATAAAAAACAGTTTTTCATCACTTTAGACGTCATGTACTCTTTTTTTAATAGCTTTTCATTTGAAACCATGGACATTTGACAAATGGTAGGTGTTTAGGTACTGTATACAATAAATAAGGTGTACAGTAATTGTGTGTTTCCAGGAAGTTCTTTTTTTGGGTGGTGGTGGTGAGGTGGGGGGGTATAAAAACAAACCAAAAAAATCAATAAAAACACATTTTAATGGGTAATAGGAGAGTGAACAGAGACAGACAACTTGGACAAAAAACACACAAAGCTTATTGTAGACAAAGCAGCAATTTGTGGCAGGTGATTTGCTTTCAGTGGAGTTCAGCTCTCTTCAAATTAGCACCCTGAGTTTCCCAGCCATTGTTTGCTCCTTCAGTTTCCCTTGTTTACAGAGAG